GGGCTTAGCTGTGGGTGGGGGCGGCTCGGTGCGGCTCGGTGCGGCTCGGTGGGTAAGTTGGCAGCGTGTCGTTGTAAAATTATTGGCATGCGAACGATGCTGCAACGTTTATTAAATTTTTGAAGTGCCGCAAAGAGGGTGAGCCATTGTCAAAGGGAAACGGGCTGCGACAATATACGTGTCGTATGTGTGTGCATGCCTGTGCATGTGTGTGTGTGTGCATGGGTGTGCCATTTTATGTTGTATTAATTTTACAACTTGCATTTTGTAACTTGCAGCATGAGCATCATATATCATTATTTGCACCCAAATACGCTTCACTTAAAGTGTTTTTCCAGTGCGTGGGTGTGTGTGAGAGAGAGAGAGAGAGAAAGAATGTGGAAAAGTGAGAGTGAGAGGGAGAAAAGTGGGTTTTAAGTGTGGGAGTGAATGGGAGTGTATGAATTAGTATGAGTATGGGTGTATGAGAAAGAGAGAGAGAGAGAGAGAGAGAGAGAGAGAGAGAGAGAAAGAGAGGGAGAGAGAGAGAGAGAGGGAGAGAGAGGGAGACATGTGTGTGTAGATGTGAGAAAAATGAGAGTGTGTAGGAGTGAAATGGTATATGAGTGTGTGTGTGAATATATGAGTGTGTAGGTGTGGAAGGAAGATAGCGAAAGAGAGAGACAGAGAAAGAGATAGAGAGAGAAGAAGAGACAGATAGTAGGTGTGTGTTGGTGTGAGAGAAAGACTGAGTATGTAGAACTGTATGGGTATACGAGTGTGTAGGTGTGGAAGGAAGGTAGAGCGAGAGGGAGAGAGAAAGGCGAGAAATCCATTCGATTAGGTGTATGTGTTAGCACAAGTATGAATATGCATGCATGTATAAGGGCGTATGCGTGTAAGAGAGAGGGAAAGAGAGGTGTGGATATATGCATGTGTGTGTGTGCCACTGTGTGCGTGTCTCTGAGTGCATCACGTTACATGTGTCCACTGCTTTATGGCTGCCGCTGCCGCTGTGTTAATTTGCCATCAACTTGATTTTATTTTGCGTAATTAAACGAGACGATAGTTAAATTATCGTTTCATTAAATATGTATATGCATACTTGTATAGTTTTATTAATTTGTATTTATTGCATTCATTTAAAGTTAATCAGCCAATTGGCATTTAAATGAGTTTGCTCAACTTAATCGACAGCGATTTAACCCAACGATAAATAAGTTAACATGCACTTTGACCACCCCCTCAATTAGTCATCGAAGCTGCATTAATTTATTAGTTAAACAACAAGCATATGAAAAGCAAAACCAAAGTGGTTTAGATTTAACTTTTATTTGCAAATTATGCACCTCAAATGCGCATTGAATATTTATTTAATTAATTATTTAAAGTCAGCTAAAATGAACTCTGATTCATATGTTATTCATAGAGTGAAAATTCTTTAAATATTTATGCAGCTTGCATTTTGTATATACTACATTTTTTATATAATTTTTTAAATATAATTTATTAAAAAGATTTAGTGGAAAAGTGTTAGAGCCCCGTCTCCTGCTGCTGCTGCTCTGATATATTAATCGAAAAGTTTACAAATCGTTGCTTTTAACACAATCCTCAGGGTCTCGACATGAACTACTTTATGTATGTATGTGTGCGTGTGTGCGTGTGTGTGTGTAGCTAGCAAGTAGTAAGAGCTCAGACACACACACACACACACACTCATTCACTCACTCCTCACATGTATTTGATAATACATAAATACATTGTCTAATATTTGTGGATGCTTAGGGCAGAGCTCCGGAACAGCTTAACTGTCGTCTGGGGGCGGCGATGGGTAGGCGTCCGGGTGTTTCTCGAAATTTGCTTTCTGTTGCCAGCTGCACTTGCAACATGCCGCACTTCATTGCAACTAAACAAGTTTGCTAACTATTTGAGTGAGTTTTCATGCGTCGTTGCTGTTGCCGCTTCTATTCTTATACTTATTTGGTCTGCTGTCTATGAACATGTATTTGTGTGTATGTGTGTGTGTGTGTGTGTGTGTGTGCATTAGCGAATTGTTGCCAAGACGTAAGGCTAAGCAAAGCAAAGAGTAAACACAAGACAATGAAGTCTGAAATAGGAACTGCACATATCCATTGGCATGCATCTGTATGTGTATGCGTGTGTGTGTCTGTGTGTGTTGCTCCACATTAAGCCGAGTCACAAACATAGATAGTTACGGCAAAATACTGAGTATCTTTATCTGTGGCTGTAACTTACATACATACATATCGCTAAGAGGCTTATGATTTGAAAGCTTCAAAGTGCCGTGCAGCCGAGGCTAATGAGTTCCTTCAACTTGTTAAGGAATTATAAACAAGCATCCATTTACCATAAGCAACAATACATGCTAAGTGCGCGCTGTTGTCGAATTTGCATTCTTGAATTTATTTATATGTATCAAAAATTCGGATAACTTATTCTGGAATATTATTGATCTTATATTATTTGATCTTATTAAGTATTATTATTATATTTCGCAAATATATTGTATTTTTGGCATATATTTAATAGTACCGTTGCTAGATATCATTCTAGGCTTTGCTAAAGTGCACTACGACTTCATTTCTGAACTCCATATACAGTCCACTCTCGATAATTGGTGGCCCGATAAATCGCAAAGTGCTATAAAGCGAAAAACTTTGATTCCCTTGAAATAAATCGTTATCGATAATTTTCGATAACTTGAAATTCTGTGTGCATCGAAGAAAAAACTGATCCCCTTGCCATTTCGAACTATAGGGGCTCGACTGTATTCATATATGAGCACATATTGCTAAAGCTTTGATAGCTCACTGAAATGCGCTGTTGCTGTTTTTCAGTTTGGTGTTTTTCTCAGCATTTCAGTGAAAATTTCAATGTGGTTTTACTAAAGAGATTTAACAACAAATTTTTACAAATCTCCCCAGCTGTTGTTCATTTGGTATTCTTTGCGTTGTTTTAAGTTCTTTCAGATCAATGCAAAATTGTATAGAGCACGTCTTAAGCTTGCGCTGTTGCCACACTTCAAAGCCATCTCTAATCCAGCCTTGTCCTCGACTATTTTGTGTGTGATTCTCAACTGGCACTTTTATAAAAATTCCTTGCTTGAGGCAAAAACATTGTTAAACATGCACTCGAAGCATATTGTGTTAGCGCAAGCATTTTGTTTATGATTTCTGAACACTTTGGCTGCACACTTCATTGGCTTTCTGAGCTTTTGGGTGTGTTTGCCGAAAGTTTAAATTGAAAAGCAGTGTTGGAAAAGGCCCTAATGAAATACGCTATTGGAGCACCTAAGTGCCTGGTTGTCGCATTTCAATTGCAATTTTACACTGTTGCCGCATTGCACTGATTGTAGGAGCTGCTGTTGCTGTTGTTGTTGCGGCTCCTGTAGCTACTGTTGTTATTGCTGCTGGCTCGCCAGTTAACCGTGTCCGGCCCACCTAATTGCTGACCAGATGCAGCACTCAAAGTGCCATTTGCGACGTTGCCGAACTTCAATTAGCAACAATTTGGCTGTAAAGTGCAGTTGGCCGTGGCAAAAGTGAAAGGCAGGACTAAGCAGAACTACGCCGGACTACGCAGGACTATGCCGGACTGTGCCCTCAAGTGCACATTTTGTCAAATCAAAAACGGAATTTGAATTTCAATCAACTTAAATTAAATCAAAATTTGTAAAATGAAGTGCACACACACACACTCACACAAACACACACACATACATACGTACACGCATAACCATTTGCGAGTCACTTGAATGACTTGAACTGCAAACTCTCAACTTCAATTCCAATTTCATGGGCAACAGCCAGTTGTTGTCCTTGTCCTCATCGTTGTCCTCGTCGTTTTCGTAATCAGTACAAAATTTGAATATAATTCTCATGAATGCCCGGAGAGTTAGTTGTGTGCTCTGGTCTCTGGTCTTGGGTCTGCTCTGGTCTGACTTGGCTTGGTTTGGTCTTGGGCACCAAGGGTCTTGGCCTTGGTGCACCCATCGACCGCAGCAAGCAAATGTTGAACATTTTAAGAGCTGCCGGCTGCGGGACGCTTTTTAGCCACAAAAATTCACAGTAAAGAAAAGTCGACAAATGCACTCGATGCTGCTTTTTAGACCTGCATGTGCTTCAAAAGCCATCAGCCAATGGCCAAGCCAGGCAGACTTGCCTCTCTCTCTCTCTCACTCCCTTTCCCTCTCTCTCTCTATTTCTCTGTCTGTGCCTTTGGTTACGGGTTTTTGGTTTTTTGGCTCAGACAATTTTTGGCCTTTTCGATTCGGGCCGAAACCGCACTAAAGATGAAAGGCAAAACTCTTACACTTTGATGATTGTCATGATGTTTCCCATGTCAAGCAGTGAAACTCCATATTTAGTGCTCTGCTTCTGCAATTCTCTCTCTTCCTCTCTCTGTCTCTCTATATACCTCTTCTGTTTTTCCGCTTGGCTTTGGGCCCGAGCTTGATTAGGCATTGCACACACGTAATCGCAATTGACGCCCCAGATTCGCGCACCTGTTGTTGCCTGTAATACGCTACGGCCCCACCTCAGCAAAGAGTTGGCTTAGCTCAACTGACAGCTAGTTGTAGCTATTCAGTTCTCCCGTCGCCCATTGTCCATTGCCCATTCGCCAGTTCTCGTTACCCCGAATTCTCATTCAGAATTCTCTGCTGTCCAAGTGGTTCGCTTTGATTTCTTTTGCTCTTTTGGCCCCTTGCAGCACGTTTCCATTTGATGGCCATAAATTCGCTTTGGGCTTGAATACTATTTAGCCATGTGTATAGTGTATCAAAAACATGAATATGCAAATTGATTTTGAATTTTGGTCATTTACAGTGCCCCACAAAACTATATACCTCATTCAAGAGTTGTTGGCTTTTTTTTAATGCTAAATAAAAACTAAATTTACTACACTTCTTCCTCTCATAGTTCCTCTCAAGTTTTATGCATATTACAGGGTATTTGTAGTTGTTATGTTATAAAGTTTAAATCTTCTGCCTTTCTCTTGCAGCTGCAGTAACTCGCCTCAATGTCTGACGAAGTGCCTTTGGGACGTTTATCGCAAATTTTCGATACTCTAACCAACTTACAACAACAACAACAGCAGCAGCAGCAGCAACAACAACAACAGCAGCAACATCAGCTGCAGCAGCAGCAGCAGCAGACAGTGGCAGCGGAGCAGCTGCGTCGACGTTCTGCCTCCTCGTCGCCCTCACCGTCGGCCAGTGCCTCGGCGTCCTCGTCGGGCCGTGCCACGCCCGCCGCCGCGCTGGGCGTGGCCGCAACCCAGACACTCTACTACACGCACACGCACAACTACTTTCTGCGGCCGCAAGATGGCGCCAGCTACCTGCACACATTCCCCGCCACCGCCGCAGCGCAGCATTCCTCGCACTTCTATCAGCAGCATCAGCAGATGCAGCATCAACAGCAGCTGCAGCTGCAGCATCAGTTGCAGCAGCCGCCCTCGCTGCCCGGCCGGCTGTCGGGCTCTGGCTCCGGTTCGGCATCCGGCTCCGGGTCTGGCTCCGGCACGCAGTCGCTGCACGCCTCGCCGCTGTTGGCCAAGCGCGCCACCTCGTTTAGCGGGCAGATGCCGCTGACGCGTGCCGCCCAGTTGCATGAGGCACGCCTGGCGGCTGCCTCGACGCCCAACAGTCCGCGGCTGATGCCGCGGCGCGCGCCACGCCCGCCGCCCATACCGGCCAAGCCGGCCAAGGAGCTGAGCGCTGCGAGTGGCGCTACGAATGCGCCGGCACATTCGCTGAATCCCGTGCTCGCCGCCCTGGACGCTCCCGATGCGCCCTGGCCGCACTTCTCGTCCCTCACCGAGCACCTGGACGTGCATCAGCTGAACAACTATGGACAGGCGTTGCCCGAGGTGGGTTGCTCTTTTCCCTGGGCTTTAAGGTGTCCGCTCTACAGCTCTCCTTCTTCTTTGGCTCTTGCAGGTCAACTGGCAGGAGCGCTGCTTGGAGCTGCAACTGGAGCTGCATCGATCCAAGAATCAGGCGGGCCGCATTCGGGACATGCTGCGAGAGAAGGTAAGTCACAAAAGCTTAGCATTAAGTTTATGAACTGGTACTTTTAGTAAATTGGAACTAGTTCTGGTTCCGGTTCAGAATTCCTCAACTTCAAATTTGTTATTATTTTTGAGCTATGGTAATGTTAGGCAACGTGTAAATTGGAACTGGTTCCGGTTCCGGTTCATCGATTCCCAATTGTTATTATGAGACATGCTTCATAAATATATTGCGAAACTCGAACTGACTGGTACTTTTAATGAATTAGAACTAGTTCCGGTTCCGGTTCCGATTCAGAGTTTCTAACATCGATTCCCAATTATTGTTATAATGAATATATTGCAAAACTCGAACCGATCTGGTACTTCTATAAAGGTGGAACTAGTTCTAGTTCCGTTTTAAACTTCAAATATTTCGTTTTATTATGTGTCATCCAGCTAACTGGGCTCTCATTCCTTGTATAAAATTGATCTTTGATATGATAATTGTCAAATCTCGAAATTTTTACATATTACAATGAACTCTTCAAGTGATTCCAAACTAGTTCACTTAGCAGCTAGCATGATAAGCTCGTGCAAGTATGGGTTGTTGGAGATGTGCTTTGGGGACTGGTTGATTAGTGCAAATGAGTTATTAAGTGAGAAACAAGACGAAGAAGGGAAAAAAATAGAGAGCAAAGTGACGCACAGACACATTAATTACGCACACACACACACGACACGCACACGACACACACACACATAGTCAGACAGTGTCTAATGTATATCTTGTGCTTAATGATGATTTATGGGGCCCATGGTTAAAACATTTTTATGACGGCCCCTTACAATTATCAGGCCAAAAAGTAATCTACTTGCCAGGAATAATACCGCGCCCTCCCGCCCACCTCAACCCTCAAGCTAGGCTAGCCCCACTTTACCTCACTTTGTCTCTGTGCCGGCTGTGCCCTTGGCTAATTTGTGGCGGAAATAGTGCAGCTGTGTGTTGACAGTGTCTCTTCTCGCATGTGTGTGTGTGTGTGCGAGTCCTTTTATGATTAGCCTAATTAAGTCATTAGGCATTTGGCCAAAATAACAGCAGCCGCAGCCGCAGCCGCAGCGCCAGTTCTCTGCGGCCCTCGCAGCGATATGCCACGGCATTGTCATTAGGTTTATTGGCAGCGCCATCTAGCGGCGCATTAATGCAAAAACTATATGAATTATTAAAATGTAACACTAAAGTGAGTGCCTGCTGCTGCTGCCGATGGGTGAATGTGTGTGTGTGTGTGAGTGGGTATTACTTTCATCTCGTCACACATGGCGCTTGCTATGTATATACACGATATATGGTCATGAGTCATGACATAAATTAATTACACTTCAATGATTTTTGCTGCATGAATAATGCATGAGGCGAGCGGCAGTCAGCTCTCGCATACCCATTCCCATTCCCATTCCCATGCCCGGGCCCATAGACGTTCTATAGCGATCTTCGTAACGGAGTTAATCACACAGATATAAGAGCAATATGTATGTATGTATATAAATATATAATTTGTTTTCTGTTAAATGTCTGCCGTGCAGTGAATGTATGCGAATATATGAATAAATATAGTCAAAAAAAAATCTGTTTTTTTTTTTTTTTGGATATTTATTAATTTTATGCTGCTGCATCTTATGTCTGTAAACATATGTATGTGTATATGTATTTATATATATGTATCTGTGTACACATAATGAGAGCTTGTTTGATGTATCCTTGGATGCGATTTGTGACCAGCTAAAAATTTAATGTTTTTTTTTAATTTATTTTTTTTACTTTTCACATATTTTTGGATGCATTTCGTTTATTATTAATTTTGTATTTTTATTCAATTTTGTTTTTTTTTCTATGCTTTGGAATGTAATGTTTTATTTTTTATTTTTTAGTTTTTGATATACTCTTTAATAAATTTTATTATTATTTTTTTTTTAATTATTTTTATTTGATCTCATACTTTCAGCTTAATTTTTTTGTACTCTTTGGAATTATATATATGTATATACATTTTTTATGCAGTATATTTATTTTTATTAATTTTTGGAATCTTATTTTTTTTTAATTTTTTGTTTATTTTTGTTTATTTTTATTGGTTTGGAATTATATATATATAAATTTTTTATGCAGTATATTTGTTATTATTAATTTTTGGAATCTTATTTTTTTTTTTGTTTTATTTATTTTCATTGGTTTATTTGAGCTTTCAGCTTAATTATTCTGCTACGTTTTGGAATTGTATGTTTTTTTTTTTTTTAATATTAAAATTTTGTTTGATGCAGTATGTTTATTATTAATTTTTAGAATGTTAAGTTAATTTTGTTTGATACAGTATGTTTATTATTGATTTTTCAAATTTTGAGCTAACTTTTTTGTGGATTCAGTATGTTTCTTATTAATTTATTATTCATTTACATTGTTTTTATTTGATCTCACACTTTTACTGCTACGCTTTGTGCCTTGATTTCCTGCACAACGCGAAATCGGGCTTCAGGTTTTATTTGGTCAGTTGTACCTGAAGTTATGAGCTGTCTCGCAGTTCCAGCGCGTGTTAGGCAGATTGTTGTTGGGTTGTACATTATCAATGCTTAGTCAGGCTCTTGAATATCTTGCTTTGTGGCCCTGGCTCTATTATTCCAAGATGTTTCTCGGTTAAAGAGAATGCATAAATTCGCTGCGCCTTTAAATGCACTATAAGAAAAGCTAAGTAAGCTCTTGACACATTTGCTGCCTACTGGCTTCAGCTTTGCTAGCAGTTCCTCCTGCTGCTCCTTTGCAGTACAGGACACTGTGCTACTCCTGCTTGAGAAGTTAACGAATAACCCGAAATGACCCGACTCCAAAGTTGCTCACTTGCTGCAGCATTGTTGTTTTTCATTATGTTAGGCGTTGCTTTGGCAGGTGTGTGCATATGTGTGCAGGTGTGTGTGTGTGTGTGTGTGTGTGTGTGGCGCCTATTACTATGCAATGCAAAGTTTGCCAGCCATTGTTGATTTTCGAAAAGGCAGCGCGGGTGGCACTGACTCTGACGTGAAGCGAGTATGGCGAATGCATTCGTTTGCTTTGTGCAATGCTGCATGTCGCTTTTAATGAAAGAAGAGCAAAAACAAAGCAATGGGGGAAAAAAATAGCAACACTGTGGGCTATCCACGGCTGCAACATGCTCGTTCGCATATAAGTTCCAATTATGAGCTAAACCAAACCAATATACTCCTCTTCGTATTCGCATAACGAATTGAATGCGAATGCTTGAGTGGGAATGGAATCTCGTTTGGGGCCAGAAAGCAAAGCAAAGAGCACCTTGAGAGCTGTTGCCACTGACCAGAGCATCTGAAATGCTGTTGCAACACTTTTCAATATTTAATTGGCAGTGAAAAAAAAAAAAAAAAAAAATTGCAAAGAAAAAAAATAGAATATAAAAAAGGGAAAAAAGTATATCAAACCATATCAAAGCTGAGTTGGCTAGCGCAGCACAAACAACTTCAACGATGCTCGAATTGGAGTAGCCTAAAGAGCAGCTGCCCTGTGTCAATGGAGTTTTGAGAGTCATCAAATGGGCAGACATCTAAGCCATAAAGATTGCATGTCTCATTTTACTTATAATTATCTAATTTATGGGCTTACGAGAATATGCTAATATATATTTAAAAATTAAAAAAAATATATATATAATAATCTTAGTTATGAAGATTAAAAATATCATTTTGCTTATAATTATCTAAGTTCGTGGGCTTACAGAAGTATTAAAAAAAACATTGATCGAAGCTATGAAGATCATAAGATCATAAGTCATTGTGGGTATACAAATACATACAATATAATAATGTAAAGTTAAAAAATAAAATAAATAAACATAATAAAATGTATATATTTTAAACTATAAAAATAAAGAAAAATAACAATAATAATAATAAAATAAAATAAAAAATAACAATAAAACCAAAAAATTCTAGTTTTACCTCATAAATAAAAAGAAAAATATAAAAAAAAATAAAATATAAATAAAATAAGAAATAAATAAGTTAAAAAATATATACATATAATAGAAAATGAATACAATAATAAATAATAAATAAAATGAATAATAATAAAATAAAATAATAATAATAAATAAAATAAGAAATAAATAAGTTAAAAAATATATACATATGATAGAAAATAAATAGAATAAAAAATAATAAAATAAAAAATAAATGAAACAAAAAAATATCACAAAATAATTTATTTATTTATTTTTTATTTAGAGTATATTTCTAGAAAGTTTATAAATAATAACATATACACTTTCTTAATCAAATATGCATAGACTAATCAAATATGCATAACACAAACTTTTAGAGACTGTGAGAGATAAACAGAATACAGTTTATGGTGAGTTCAGTTAGATATTTGACAGCTTGGAAGTTCAGATCCGATAGCCAATAGCTCATGGGGGTGATGACGCCTAAGTCTTCTCTCAGCTCAAGTGTGGAAGCTAATAGAATTTAGTCAAGTTCCCCAATCCGATTTTTTAGAGCTGCATTGCCCAATGAGTTTAGCCAGCCGGATCTGATTGGATTGTGTTTTCTGTCTATGCCAATTGGAATGTGGAAATGTGCTCGTTCAGTTCAGCATATGCCGTGCGGTAGTTTCTTTACAGGATATCATCAGAAATATGAAAAGTGAGCCAAATTGGAAAATATAACAACTCGAACGACTAAAAGTATGCAATGAATATTTTATTTGTGTTTTATGCATTTGCCATTTGCCGTTTGCGTTTGCCGTTTGCTGTTTGCTGTTTGCAGCTCGCCTTTTGCCTTTTGTCGCCCATTTTTATGAGCTTCTCAATTTTTGTTGGCTGCTGCTGCTGCTGCTGCTGCCTCACTACAACTTGCAACTTTTTGCCGCAGCTGCAGCTGCAGCAAGCGCTCAAGTGCAGCAAATTTTTGTCATCATAAATTTTAAATTAGTTGCAGCAAAAGTTGCAGTTGCCCCTTGCAAACATTATTATGATATTTATTTATAAT